CGGAGACTCGCTTGAGCCCAAGAGTTAGAGGTTGCTGTGAGCTGTGATGCCACAGCACTCTACCCAGGGGGACAGCTTGAGGCTCTGTCTCAAAAAGAAAAAGAAAAAAGAAAATGTGATTTGGGTCACCACCAATCTGATAAATTTTGTGAGACTAGGGCAGGGAGGAGTATTAAGGTAGCAGAAAAGCTTCGTATTGGTTGACTGAGGAAATCAAAAGGTGTAATCCATAGGTAATCCGTATAATCAAAGTTAGATTGGATGATGTAAAAGAGGTTGGCCTGTTCTGGGAATTGGAAGCTTAAGGTTTGGGGAAGAAGAAGAGGAAGTTTAGCAAGAACAGGAAAACGGTAGTCAGATTACTTTAGAGCAGTGGTTCTCAACCTTCTTAATGCCCCAGTGTATTTTCATTATTACAAAGGGGTCGCAACCCACAGGTTGAGAACCCCTGATTTAGAGCCTTGCTATCATGTTAAGGTATTTGGATTCAGTTGAATGAACACATAAGAACAGAGAAAATTTTGTCTGTAGAATTTTGGGAGTAAAAAAAATTACTAGCTTAAACTCACACAATCAAAAAGTACAAAAACCTGAAAGAAATAGTTCATTATTAGCAAGTAGCAGCAGATGCAATAAACACCACTAAATCTCTAAAGAATCTTTGATAATGAAGTTATTAGAGACTGTTAAAATTAAAATATGGGTAGAAAGTGTAATGAAAAGTTTATGAAAGAGAAGGAGTCAAATCCTAATATTAGGATAAGAGACTGGGGAGGATTTAAAAAATAAGTGAAACTTGTAGAAATGAAAAATATAGATGCTAAGGTCTATCAAGGAATTTTAAATAAGATATATACAGTTACATCTATTTAAAGTAGAATTGAGGAACTTGAAGGAAGCTTTAGGTAATTCTAGATCACCTAGAATAGAGCCTAGGAAGATAAAGAGAAATTAAGAGAGAATGAGAAGGTCCAGTATGGAACATACATCTAAAAATACTTCCAAAAGGAGAGAATAGGAGGGATACGCTATTTCTAGTCTTTCTGGGAGGAAAAATGCAATGACTAAGATTCCCAGGACATATATTTCTCACCTTTAGAAAGCAAGGTCCCAAAGATAATATAAACCTATATCTAGATGTATTTTATGAAGTAAAATCAAAGAATACCAAAGATAATCATAAGATAATCAAAAAGTTTCCAAAATGAAAAAAATCAATACATAGAAAGTAATATCCATTAATCTGACAACAAAATTTTGAACAACAGTTTTAGAAGATAACGGAATAAATTGTTTTTTTTTTTTTAAAGATAAAAAAGGTGGGTGTTTTTAGAGGATTTTTTTTTTAATCATCCTTAGTAAAGTGCTGTAGTGTCACAGCTCACAGCAGCCTTCAGCTCTTGGGCTTAGCGGATTCTCTTGCCTCCGCCTCCTCAGTAGCTGGGACTACAGGCACCCACCAAAATGCCCGGCTATTTTTTTGCAGTTTGGTCAGGGCTGGGTTCGAACCCACCACCCTCGGTATATAGGGCCAGTGCCTTACCCACTGAGCCACAGGCACCACCCAGTTTTTCTATTTTTAATAGAGATGGGGTATCGCTTTTGTTCAGGCTGGTCTCAAATTCATGAGCTCAAGATGTCCACCCACCTTGGCCTCCCAAAGTGCTAGGATTACAGGTGTGAGCCACTGTGCCCAGCCTAAACAATTTTATTTATCACTGATACTCTATGTATTTTTATAGTATTTCTAGTCTTGCTTCTTCCTGAGAACTATGGGCTTCTCCCATGGTGTAGATGAAGGTTAAAAAAACAACTCTGATCTTTCTTTCTTTTTTTTTTCCGAGACAGATTCTCGCTCTGTGCTCCAGTAGAGTATCATGGTGTCATAGTTCACAGCAACCTCAAACTTTTGGGCTTAAATGATCTTCTTGCCTCAGCTTCCCAAGTGCCTGCCGCAATGCCAGGCTAGTTTTTTCTATTTTTCATAGAGACAGGGTCTTGCTTTTTGTTCAGGCTGGTCTCGAACTCCTGAGCTCAGGCAATCCACCCACATTGGCCTCCCAGAGTGCTAGGCAGATCTGATATTTTTTTTTTTTTTTTTTTGGAGACAGAGTTTCACTTTGTGGCCCTCAATAGAGTGTTGTGACATCACAGCTCACAGCAACCTCCAACTCTTAGGCTTAAGCAATTCTCTTGCCTCAGCCTCCCAAGTAGGTAGGACAAAGGCGCCTGCCACTACACCCAGCTATTTTTTTTGTTGTTGTTGTTGCAGTTGTCATTGTTGTTTAACAGGCCCAGGCCGGGCTCAAACCCACCAACCTCGGTGCATGTGGCCAACACCCTACTCACTGAGCTATGTATGGGTGCCAAGCCAAATCTGATCTTTTTAAATGAAGGTCACTGACACTATTTAGAAAATAAATGTACTGGCAGAGCCTGTGGCTCAGTGGGTAGGGCGCCGGCCCCATATACCAAGGATGGCGGGTTCAAACCCAGCCCTGGCCAAACTGCAACAAAAAATAGCCGAGTGTTGTAGTGGGCGCCTGTAGTCCCAGCTACTCGAGAGGCTGGGGCAAGATAATCTCCTAAGCCCAGGAGTTGGAGGTTGCTGTGAGCTGTGACGCTACAGCACTCTACTAAGGGCAATAAAGTGAGACCCTGTCTCTGAAAAAAAAAAAAAAAAAAGAAATGTACCTTGTTAATTAATGAAGTGCCTCACAATGGAGCCATCTATCTTACAGGAGAAAGAGACATTTTGTACCTTTGTAAATGCCTTGTACATGGAAAGGCTCTCCATCTGAGTATTTTTTCAGTGTATTACTTTCTGTTTTCAGGTAGTTATAAACTAAAATGTAACTAGCCTGGAGCACATCACTATATTAATATGTGCTAAATGAAAGGATTCTTCCACATAGTAGTTTAGATGTCTAGTAGATTATGGTAATTTTAACTTGAGTAGAAAAAGGTTTAGCAATTTGTTTTTGTAAAGTCATTCATATTACCAACTTTAATAAAGTTCTTTTTATTTTACAGAAAAATTTTTAAAGACCTATCTTCTGAAGACACAAGGAGCAGAAAAGGAGACGGAGAAAACTCTGGAGTTTCTGCTGTCACTTCTATGTCCGTTCCGACTCCCATCTATCAGACTAGCAGTGGACAGTACAGTATGTATAAGAATCAATTTCCACATGACAGACACAAACAGTGACTTTTCCATGGAAAGCAGTGTTATATAGAAAGACTGTCATACTTTAACAGTGGTAGAACTTTTTGAGCTAGGACTAATACAGAGTACTTTCTCACCATTATCTCATTTACTTTTTATAACAACTTTGTGAGACAGGCAAGTATCAATTTATGAGGGAACTAAGGTTTAGGCAGGAGTGTCCAGCCTTTTTTCTGCCACGCATTAGAAGAGGAAGAAGAGTTGTCTTGGGCACATTAAATAGGCAAACACTAAAGAAAGCTCATTAGCAGAAAGAAAGGTCCGCGTGTACTGTTTGTGATATTCTACACCAGAGATAAGCAAAAAGTCCTCACAAAATCAGCATTTGGCATGTTAGACACCTCTGGTTTAAAGAATTAGAGAATTGGGTGGCATCTGTGGCTCAAAGGAGTAGGGCGCTGGCCCCATATGCCATAGGTGCCAGGTTCAAACCTAGCCCCGGCCAAAAAAAGAATTAGAGCATGTTCCTAAAGCCACACAGCTTATGAGTGAAGGAGCCAAGATTCAAAATTAGTTTTGTCTTAATCTAAAGACATAATTTTACCCCAAACTACACTGTCTCCTACAGAATTCTCTCTTGGACACTAGCCAGTTATATCCATGACTTTATTTGTAGAAGAAAATAGTATTAGGATTACTTATATAATGAAAAATTAAACATGAACATTGAGTTTTCAGTTTGAGGTTAAGGAAGTTTGAATCAGAAAGATTCAGATTGTTTTGCAATGTGATTTACAGCATGCCTGCTATACATGATCAGGGACTGATCCAACTTTACTAAACTATTAAATCTCTATATCTGAGGGCAGTGCCTGTGGCTCAGTGAGTAGGGCCCCAGCCCCACATACCGACGGTGACGGGTCCAAACCTGGCCCCAGCCAAACTGCAACAACTGAAAAATAGCTGGGCGTTGTGGCCGACGTCTGTAGTCGCAGCTACTCGGGAGGCTGAGGCTAGAGAATCGCCTAAGCCCAGGAGTTGGGGGTTGCTGTGAGCTGTGATGCTACAGCACTATACCAAGGGCAATAAAGTGAGACTCTGTCTTTAAAAAAAAAAAAAAGTACATAATTATAATTTGAAAAGAGAACAGAAATGAAGCATTGGATTCTAAAGAGGATTATTGTGTGGATGTTGCATAATGCTAAAATGTTTTCTGTTTGGTCATACCCTATAGGCATTTTGTTTAAGGGCTCAGTAGAACTCATTAACCCAAGTATAATTCAGTGAAAAATATTTGTGAGGATTGAAGTAATGTGAGCTATTTAGTGGCTTTCTGATGACTATATTGGTGATTTTCACTAGGAAGTGAATGAATAGGTTACATTTCTTAGATTTCCTTTAACTAAATAACATGTAATACATTTAGCAGTAGTGCCACTAGAAAGTAGAGGTAGAAAACAAAATATGAAGAGCTTACATAAAGAAATGCCATTTTATTTCCTTTACGTATAATTCACCCAAAGTAGTCAACATTTATCAAGTAGAACTACATTCAGACCTGTTTTCGTAAATCATTGTTAGGCTTTTTTTTTTGACACCTCTTTGAATTTAGTGTATTGAGTAGCCTTACAATAGTTATTTTCTCTCTTTAATTGAAGTTGCCATTGCCCCAAATGGAGCCTTACAGTTGGCCAATCCAGGCACAGATGGAGTACAGGGGCTTCAGACATTAACCATGACAAATTCTGGCAATACCCAGCAAGGCACAACTATTCTCCAGTATGCACAGACATCTGATGGACAGCAAATACTTGTGCCCAGCAATCAAGTGGTAGTACAGAGTAAGTATGCTTAACTGTCTATACAGAATGTCCCAGAGTCCTTTCAAAAACACTTCCTAGCTAACTCACTCTTTTTTGACCATCCAGCTGCATCAGGAGACATGCAGACATACCAGATTCGTACCACACCTTCAGCCACTTCTCTGCCACAAACTGTGGTAATGACATCTCCTGTGACTCTTACATCTCAGACAACTAAGACAGATGACCCCCAATTGAAAAGAGAAATAAGGTTAATGAAAAACAGGTAGGTGGTAAAATCATACTGCCAAAATAGGTAATGTTTTTACAAATCTGCAAAACATTATTTTACAATAATGTTTTTACAAATATAACCAAATGTTAACTGGAATTGTATGCAGTCGTGTACTACATAATAACGTTTCAATCAGTGATGGCTGCAGTGGTCCTGTGCGATGTAATGGAGCTGAAAACTCCCTCTGTAATGTGTAGGGCAGCACATTACTCACGTGTGTGGCCATGCTGGTGCAGACAAACCTGCTGTGCTGCCAGCAACATGGACTAGAACGTGCAGTTATGGACAGTGCATGATACTTGATAATAAATATGTTAGATATGTATTTTTTACCTTTTTTTTGAGATAGGGTCTTGCTCTATTGCCCTGGCTCAAGAGCAGCGGTGTCAACATGGCTTGCTGCAACCTCTAACTCAAGCACTAAAGTTATTTCCCTGCCTCAGTCTCCCTAGTAGCTGGAATAGTGTACTACTATAGGCATGCCCCACCATGCAAGCTAATTTTTCTGCTTTTTGAAAAGATGTGGGCTTGGCACCTGTGACTCAAGTGGCTAAGGCGCCAGCCACATACACCTAAGGTGACAGGTTCCAATCCAGCCCAGGCATGCCAAACAACAACGATGGCTGCAACCAAAAAATAGCCAGGCGTTGTGGTGGGCGCCTGTATTCCCAGCTACTTGGGAGGTTGAGGCAGGAGACTGACTTGAGCCCAGGAGTTGGAGGTTGCTGTGAGCTGTGATGCCACAGCACTCTACCCAGGGGGACAGCTTGAGGCTCTGTTTCAAAAAAAAAAGAAAAGAAAAGATGTAGGGGAGGGCCTCACAGTTTTTCGTAGGCTAGTCTTTTTTTGTTTTTTGTTTTTTTTCTGAGACAGAAACTTAAGCTGTCACCCTGGGTAGAGTACTGTTGTGTCATAGCTCACAGCAACCTCCAACTCAGGCTGAAACAATCCTTTTGCCTCAGTTTTTTTCTATTTTTAGTAGAGACAGGGTCTTGTTTTTGCTCAGGCTGGTCTCAAACTCCTGAGCTCAAGCACTGTACCCACCTTGGCCTCCCAGAGTGCTAGGATTACAGATGTGAGTCATCACACCTGGCTAAGAATGAGACTTCTGACAATATGACCTCAGCTACGTGATATTTTTAAAAGTTTGATGAAGTATTAAAAACTACCCTTTGAGAGCAGCACCTGTGCTTCAGTGTGTAGGGAGCTGGCCCCATATACCAAGGGTGATGGGTTCGAAGCTGGCTCTGGCCACTAAAACAGGAGTGGCAACTGCAACAAAAATAGCTGGGTGTTGTGGTGGGCACCTGTAGTCCCAGCAACTTGGGAGGCTGAGGCAAGAGAATTGCCCTAGCTCAAGAGCTGGAGGTTGCTGTGAGCTGTGACAGCACAGCACTCTACCAAGGGTGACAAAGTGGGACTCTGTCTTAAAAAACAAACACACAGGCTCGGCGCCTGTGGCTCAAGCGGCTAAGGCACCAGCCACATACACCTAAGGTGGCGGGTTCGAATCCCCAGCCCG